CCCGTCGCGCGCGGCGCCGCGCGCGCGCGCGCGACGCCGCGGATGCGTTTTAACGAAAAGCCATACTCGGTGGCACGCACACGGGGTTGGCGGCGTCTCCGGGCGCCGCGTCGGCGGCGGCCTCGCACGCGCGCGCGCGACGGCGTCGGGGCGTTCGGGGACGTCGGGACGACGCGACGGTGTCACGCCCGCGTCGTCGTCCACGCGCGCGCGTCGGGGGCGATGGAACGCGCGTTGGATGCGCGGACACACGATGGGGAGGACGACGGGACGACGACGCGACGACCGACGACGATCGTTCGTCGCGCCGAGATCGCGGATGGACGGGCGGACGCGCGTGGGGTGCGGACGTTTGAGCTCGGGGAGGTGCGCGAGCGCGGGCGAACGGCGCTGGAGGAGAAGGAGGAGGCGTACAGATTGGCGCGCGAGCGGATATTCGGCGCGGAGGAGGACGCGGACGAGGCGGAGGCGGAGTGGCGAGGCGCGTCGGTGGACGAACGCGGTGGAACGAACGCGGGGGTGGATGATGTGGGTGTGAACGGTGGGAAAATGCGTGGTGGTGACGAGGAGGCGAGCGCGTCGGGGCGATCGCTGAGCGCGGCGCCGTTCGTCCCGAGGTCGGGCAAGGCGGTGAAGAAGGATCGTCGGGCGGATTTGCAAGACGATGATTTCTGGCGAGGAGGCGTGCGGGCGTCGCGTGATGGCGCGGGGGTGTTCGTGCCGCCGCAAACGTACCCTGGGGTGCCGATCGGGCCTCCGGGTTGGGTCCATCCGATCCAACCGCGGTACGCCGCGGGGTACCCTGGTCCACCTCTGCAGTTCGCTCCGATGCCTCCGTACGGGATGCCGCCGCCGCATTTCTCCGCGCAGGCGCCACCGCCGCTACCCAGGGGACCACCGCCGCCGAATGCGCAGTTTCGTCCGCCGTCGAGGTGACGTGTGCATAGTCGACACTTAGCGCGTAGCGAGCGTACGTGGCAATGTAACTTTGCTTCATTGCAACCTCGGCTAATCACGAGAGATCGCGTCGAGCCGCCTTCGTCAAAGGTCAACCCGAAGCGAACATTCTTCGAGCGATCGCACGACGAGAGTTTACCGAGCATCGACGCGAAAGATCCAATCGTTCGCTCGTCCTCGGCTCGCGCCTCGTCACGCACTCCTAAAATCTGCTGTACACCGTCGTCCTTCCGTCCGTCCAAAACGACGTCATCGTCCCGAATTCACGCGCACGAATCACGCGCGCACAAATTTACACGTCTGTACCAACGCTATACGACAATCACTGTTGCGGATCGCGTCGAATGTTGACGTGACCCTCCTGGATCAACTCGTCCAAGTCGAGCGTCTCGACGTCGGACGTCGCGTACAACACCTTTGCCGTGCGATTACGCTCGTTCAGCGAGATCACCTCCGCGCGATACCACAAGTTATCGTCGGGCCAGAACAACTGCGTCGCGGTCGCATCGCTCGCCCGTTAGTCTCCGTTCGCGCGTAGCCCGTGGGGCACTCGATGGTTCTCAAGCGGACCCCCGGGACTGGAATTCCTTTGTTTTCCCGTCGCGACGATTCGCTCGCCTCGCGCGTCACGCACCTCGATCTGCGCGTTCTTCAGCTCGCTGAGCGGCTGCGACGGCTCGAGAATGAATCCCGGCGAAGGCTTGTTGAACCCTTGCGCGTCAGCCTGCGTCGCGCGTCCAGTCGTCGTCAGTCACGCGTCGAACCGTTCACGCGCGCGTCGCTTCGAGATCATCATCGTCGCCGTCGCGCGTCAACGTCCGCGCCGCGCGCGCTCGCACACGCACCGGATCGATCTTGACTTTTTTCGCCTTCACCCCGTTCGAGCGCGCGGCGTCCCCACCCCGCGCCTTCGCCCCCCCGTTCGACGAACCGCCGTTTCTCGCGCTGGCCTCGCTCTCGTGTGCCTTGTCGTCTCGACCGTGCGCGGCGCACAAGGTCTCGTACACCGTCGACACGCCGTTGATCTTGGCGAATAACGCATCGCTAAAATTTATCCGTCACGTCCGCGCCCGCGTCAGTCCATCGCTCGCGCGTCGCGCGTCGCTCGCGGCGCGCGTGCGCTTCAAACGCGACTCTTGAAGGATGCGCGCGATCGAAGAAACCTCGGGCGAGTCAAACGCCTCGTCGCGCGAACGCACCGCTTCTTCGCGTCGAACTTGGCGCCGTAGTAAAACGCCACCGCCATCAACCACGCGTCGCCGTGCACGGCCACCAAGGCGAGCCAATCCTTACGCTGCGTGCGTCGTAAAACGAAACGCGATCCGTGCGTCAGTCAGCCGTTGGCGCGAATTCAACTCTGAATCGTCGTCGTCGTCGCACGCGCGACGCCATCGAGTCGTTTCTCTCGCGAAGCGATGGGCCAAAACGCGCACCTGCATCCCATCTCGCGCGAAGTTAATCCCGAGCGCGGGTTCGGGTAGCTCCGGGGGGACTTCCTCCGCCGGGAGCTGCACCTCCCACGTCCCGTCGGGATTGCCGTACAGGCACAGATTCTCCTTATCCGGATCACACTGCGCGTAGAACGCCTCGACGTCTGCGAACGTGCGCACGGAAATTTATCCCTCAGTCACCGCGCGGCGCGCGCTCCGTGTCGAGCGATCGCGCCGACGCGCGAGCCGGGCGCGATCACGCTCGAGAGTATCGCGCATTCGTCTCATATTCGTCGCGCGCGCGCGGCGCCGCGTCGTACCGTCCGTGAGCGCCTTGACCAACCCTTGACGACGCATCGCAAAGTTTTGGTACACCTCGTCCACCGTTCGCGGGGCCTCCATCGCGGGAACCGAGGACGACGTTGTGAAGAGTCGCGCGGGCGACGACCGACGCCGGGCGCCGCGCGTCCGATGTTCCTTTACCGCGAGAGGGTGGACTATCGATGTTTGTGTGTTTTACGTCTATGTGTGCACCACAATTATTCGTCATCGCACACGTGCAAAGTTTGAATTAAATACGTGCGCGCGGCGCGCGGCGCGACGCCGCGGGCGCGCTCACATCGAATACGCCAAGAGGTCGTCGACGTCGCCGATGCCGAGGGAGATCAAGACGTAGTCGCAGATCGCCGACACTAATCGGTGGCGGTCGAGGAGCGGACGACGAGCGAGGATAGCGACGAATGGGTCGCGGGCGTCGGCGCTGAACGGCGTCGGCGGGGACGACGATATCGTCGCTACGATCCAACCGACGACGACGTCGGGAGCGCTGTGTGCGAGCGTGGCGATGAGCGTGGCGGCGGCGCGAAGCGCCGTGCGCGGCATCGTCTCGGAGCACGCGGCGTGGAGGATGGTTCGCACCAGCGTTGAGCCGCGAGAGACAAAAAATTCATCCACCCGCGAGGCGTTGGCGACCCAAGGCGCGGACGCCTTGGACTTCTCTCCGGGATTCGCGAGCGCGTTCAGAAGCGCTAACGACGCACGAACGGGACCGTACTCACGAAGCTCTAGGGCGGCGCCCGCGAGGTCAAGCACAGGGAATAAGGCTTCGTTAGCCAAACCGTGCGCCGGAGCGAACATGACAAATGCTCTCGCAGCTCCAAAGAGTGCTTCGGCGCGTTCCCACGTCTCCGGACTCGATGGCTCGGAGCTTGCACATCGTACAGTTTCACTCGCCATGCGCACAAAGGCCGTCACGAGCGCGGATGCGACTTGAGGCGCGTTCGGTGATAATCCACTCTCGCCATTCTCAGACGAGCTCGTTGACGCCATCTCGATCGCTGTGGACACCGGCTCGAATAAACACGGGTGTCTGGTCACCATGAACGTGCGTGCGATCGATTCCAGCATGGGTACGATCATGTTCTCCGACTTGGACTTAGCGCTGAGGAGCGTGGCAACGTAGATTTCTCCGATGGCTTTCACGACGACGGGCGCCTGCCACGTTCTCGTCATCACGAGGTCTTCCATGGTCGTCCACGCCGCCGCGAGGACGGAAATCGCTGGATGTTCCGATCTAGATCCCTCCAATGACTTTGGCGTGAATTCCAGAAACCTGATCGATGACGCAATCAAGCCGAGTTCGGCGGCGACCGCGCGCGACGCCTCCGCGTGCGCCATCTGATTCGGCGGAATCTGCCCAGCCAGATCCACGGCTAATGATTTCAATCTGGCGATGACGGGCGCGATCAACTGTCCGCTCGCTTCGGATGCTTGCTGAATCGGCATAGACGAGACGAGTCTTGCCAAACCCTCCATGGCAGCTGGGCGATGATCCTCCGTGTCTGCTCGATCGAATGTCACACGAATGCTTGCGATGCACTGCTCTGAGTGCGACAGAAGCGCCGCGAACGTGCTCGCATCGTTCAAATATCGCGAACATCGCGAACAGACGCTTCGAAACGCCGTTGCCGCGCGTGGCCACGCGATAGGGTGCGGGAACGACGACGTGATGTACGTCAAAACGCTGCGAGCGAGCGTTGCCCGCGTCGCCGAATCCGTCGCCGAACTACGCCGCCCAAGCCAACTCGCGTATGACTCAATCAGGCGACACGAACTCGCTCGAACGAGTGCATGCGAAGAAAATAACCCACTATTATCGGTCGCGTGCTCCGCCACCGTCGAGAGAAGCTGCGTCAAGAAGGTTTCAATCTCTGGTGTCGCCGACTCTTCGAGATCGTCCATGACGCGAGCCGCTATCGCGCGCAGAGCGAACGCGCCCGCCTCCGCGTCGCGCCAACTCTTCGCCGCGCCTAGAGCACCTGCAACTATATGAAAATACTGTCCTCTCAAGACACCGTAAGCGTTATCTAAGAGGTCCGCGAGGATGTGCTCACGAAAGCGTTCGAAAGTCTCCTCGTCCTCCGCAGCTTCTTCCCAGCAGGTGAAATCATCCGGAAGCGTGGCTTGCTTGACGATGACCTCCACCATTCTCACGTGCATCGGTGCCCGCAAACTCTCGTGTTTCATCGACGACGCTACGGTGTCCATCATGAGAAAGAAATCGACCGCGACTTCGGTCACTTCGCGTCCGTGACGATCCATGAGTGACAGAATCAACGACACGAGCGCGAGCGACGCGTCGTCGCCTCGACACAACACGTTCACGCATCGCTCGCTCAGCGCGACGGCAACGAGCGATATATTACGTGCCACTAAGCTGTCTTCCGATTCCATCGCGGTCGCACCGTGCGCAAGCAGACCTCTCGTCACCGCGTTCACCGCCTGGAATTCCTCCGCCTCGGTGCCGCTTCGACCTTGATGAAGCTCCACCAACATGTCCACCGCCGCCTCGCCGCACCCACTCCTATCTACTACTAAACACTGCAAAATATTCTCGAATAGCGCGCCGTAGTTTGTGGCGAACTCGGTCGGCGATACGCGCAAACCGCCGACTACGTCGCCTGACGGATCCAACTTCAACCAACCTCGCGTCGCCCGAACGCACGACGCCCTCAAAGCGTCCCTTTCGCGCGTTCGCGCGCTCCCACACGCCGTAAACACCTCGCCCACCATCCGCAACACTCCATCGCACTCGTTCGCGCACGCGCGCGCGAGATTTCGCCTTCTAATTCCGCTCTCCTCGTCGCACTTCTCCGCGAGCAACGCCAAGAGCTCGATCCCCACCCGCATCCCGCTAGCATCGATCCCGCTCGTCGTCGCCACGCTCTCCGCCAATCGCTTACACCGTCCCACCTCCTCCGTTCCGCTCGACGCGCTCGCGCTCGCGATTCCCAGCGCTAACCTCCGCGCGCTTTGTTCGCCGCTCGCGTCCGCCGCCACCGCGCGAAACGCCTCCCGCGCTCGTTCCAGCGCCTCCACGCTCCGCGTCCGCGTCAACGCGCTCGCGACGACGTTCGCGGCGAAGAAACACGCGCGTTCATCCGCGCGCGCGCGCTCCAAGACGTCCAACGCGACGTGTACGGCGTCGGGCGATCGGTCCAGTTGGACGAGGTAATCATTCGCTCTCGCGCGCTCGTTCGCGTCGTGCGACGCGTTGAGCGCGCGCACGGCGGCGAGCACGGCATCGACGGCGTCCGACATCCCCCGTCGCGGACGCCGACGACGGACGCGGCGTCGTGTGCGGGACGAATGATGGATTTTAACGAAAACGTGATGCGCACGACGCGTCACACGCCGACGCGTCGACATCGCGCGCGGGGCCGATCGCCGCGGCGTCGACGACGTCGATCGCGCGCGCGCGATGTCGCGCGTGCGCGAGGGCGAGATCGAGATTCCGAGCGCGAAGCATAAAGAGTTCACCTTGGTCATGATTCGCGACTACGCCGAGGACAAGATACTTCTGGGCGAGAAGCTCCGTGGGTTCGGAAGCGGGTGCGTTCGGTGACGACGTCGCGCGCGCGCGTCGTGCTCGCGCGTATCGCTCGATCGTGGGTCGATTCGATGGGATGAAGACGTCAGAGCGCGCGCGGGCGAGCGGCTGACGGCGACGGCGTTTGAATCCGCGCGACAGGTACTTTAATGGATTCGGAGGAAAGATTGAACCCGGAGAGACGATCGAGGCGGCGGCGCAGCGAGAGTTGAAGGAGGAGGCGAACATCGAGGCGACGGACATGACGGCTCGAGGATGCCTTCGGTTCATATTCGACGATAATCCGACGCCGTGGTTGGTACACGTGTTCCACGCGAGCGCGTACACGGGGGATATCGCGGCGTCCGATGAGATGCGACCGGTGTGGTACAAGCTGAACCCCAGTGAAGTCCCCTTTGAGCGCATGTGGGCGGATGATCCGCACTGGTGGCCGTATTTGCTCGCGGAGAAGAAGTTCGTGGGGACGTTTCTGTTCACGAACACCACCGAGCTCGTAAAGTTTTGGATTCGCGAGACCGATGATTTATCCACGATTTAACACGAACCAAGCGTTGTGCAATATACCCTTAGCAATTAGGATAAATCATTTGATATTTCTGTACAGTTTTTCGTCGCGCCGTCGCCGTTGAGTTCGTCGGCGAGATTCGTCTCGTGTCGTCACCGCTCGATTTCATCGAGCAAGCGCTCGACGTCGTCCCGACGTAAAATGAGCCGAACTCCACGCTGAGTCGTGAGCTGCTCGCGAAGGTACGAAATAGCGCCCTTCCACTCGTGCTGTCCAGGAGACGACGCCACCGCTCGAATCTCGCGGACGTCATCCGACGCGCGATCGCTCGCCTGAGAAGCCGAAGCTTCCTCGGCGACGACATCGTCCGCGCCCGGGACATGTTTACAGACGAGGCTCCCGGGAGAAATACTATCCCCGGCACCCTCCTGTACGTCTGAATGCGCGCGCGTCGACGGCGCGTCTTCACCTAAATCCAAGCTCGGAGGCGTCCCGAACGCGTCCGCCGTCGATTCCGTATCAGAATCGCGGTCGCGCTTCACCTCGAACAGGCTGTACACGCTCTCGGAAACGACGTTCCCGACGTCATCCACGAAATCAGCTTCATTCTCGACGTCACATCGTTCGCCTCGCGCTTCGCGAAATCGCTCCGGGGATTCACCGCGAACCATCGCGCGTTCCGCCGAGCTCATCTCCACCCGAAATCGTCCGCCCAACATCGGCGGCGCGTCGTCCGTCGCGTCCAGCACCACCCCCACGCCGTCTCGCGCGAACGTCAACCGCTCCATCACCGCCGATCGATCGACGCGTTTCATGGGATACCCACGCGCCAGACGCAGGGTCACCGTCGTCTCGTTCGATCGCCGCGCCGCGTCGTTCTCATTCTCATTCTCATTCTCCGACGTCGACTCAACCTCCAACGGTTTCACCGTCACCGCGCGTTCGCCGTGCACCGCGGTGACCAACCCCGCCCAATCCAAGTCGTGCGCCCGCATGCTTCCGCACACCAGGACCACGCACAGGAGGGAGCCACCGGCGAGATCGACCGGAAACGCCGCTCGAGCCTCTGCGCGCGCGTCGCCGCCGCCGCCTCAGTCTACGTCGCTCGCGCCGTCATCCACCCCCCGCCGCGCGTCCACGGCGTCGTTCACCCCCCCCACGCGACGTTCACGCACCGTGCATCCACGTCGTTCGCTTCGCCTCCAACGTCGTCGTCTCCGCGCGCGACATCGCGTCGATCGATGGCGTCGTCGGCGCCATCGTCAGACGAATCGTCATCGTCTCGCGCACCAGCGGCCACGCGCGCGCCCGCGCCGCGCGCGCGCCGTCGTCCACGCGCACCCCAGACGCGGCATTCGCGCCCGCGCGCGTCGCCCGAGCGCGTCGACGCGCGCGCCGGTGTCACGAATCTCATCACGCATCGCGAATCGTCTGAGACCCACGCCCCGTCGCCGCCGCACATCGCCCCGCCCGTCGCCCGCGATGGCCAAGGGGGCGACCAAGGCTGGGGCGATCCTGGTCAAGCTCGTGAGCACCGCCGCGACGGGGTACTTTTACGTGAAGCGGAAGAACCCGAAGCGCATGCCGAGAAAGTTGGAGTTCATCAAGTACGACCCGAGGGTAGGTCTCGCTCGACGCGACGCGCGCGCGAACGCCGCGCTCGAGCGATCACTCGTGATGCCTGACGACGCCCGGACGCGTCGCGCGACGCAGGTGATGCGACACGTGTTGTTCACGGAGACGAAGATCAACAAGTAGACCCTCGGGGCGGGGCGACGGACGCGACGCGACCGCCGCCGCGATGTAGTGTACACGAGCGTTACGACGGAGACCGACGCGCGAAGATGGCATCGACGGGCGCGCGCGCGATGCGCGCTCACGCGAACTTGACGCCGTCGTCGCCGAACGCGACGCACGCGCCGGCGTCCGCGAACGCCGACGCGACCTCTCGCGCGCGCGTCTCGTCCAATCCCAACTCGCGCGCGATCTCCCGCGTCGTGTACACGCGTCCACGGAGGTCGTACCGCGCCACGAACGCGCCGAGGGCGTCCACGGCGCGCGCGCGCGACGCGCGGTCGTACACGAGCGCCCGCGTCCGCGGCGTCCCGGGCGTCCACCGCGCGTCGCCGCGCGCGACGAGTTCATCCACGATCTCCACCCGCGCCGCGAGCGGGAGCGCGCGATCGATCGCGGCGTTGACGAAGACGTCGTCCGTCGCGACGTCGATCGCGGGCGACGGGCGCGCGGCGACGACGCTGCGATGGTGGTCGCGTCAGTCATCGAACGGCACGTCTTCACTCTCGCGCGCGTCGACGACGCACCGCGCGACGTGGGCGGCCCAGCGCGCGCGTTGGGCCCGCCACGTCTCCGCTCGAGGTTGTCGCGTGTAGTGCGGGGGGTACGACGCGAACGCGGCGTCGGCGTCGGCCGTGGACATGGCGCGACTGGGGATGACGTCGATGGCGTTCGGGAAAACGACGGGCGCGCGCGCGCGCGAAGGGGCGACAGGGACGCGGCGGACGACGCCGACGCGCGCGCGGCGCCGTGGACGCGCGCGCGCGGTGCGGGAGACGCTGGAGCTCGCGGGGGCGTTGGATTCGGTGAACGTGGACCTGGCGCTGAGCGGCGCGGAGGAAATCTTAGGGAAAGGGGCGTTCGCGGCGACCTCGTTCGCGGGCGCGGTGTTCGGGAGTAAGGTGCGTGGTCGACGTGACGCGCGGGAGGGGCTTGGGGGATCGCGTGGGGTGCACGGGACGCGGGACGCGGGACGGGGCGGCGACGCGGGGTATCGTCGCGCGTAACGAAGGACGGAACGCGCGGGTGATTCGAACGCGCGGGTCGGGAGACGCGACGGGTGAAGACGCTCGCGAGGGATGGGTCGGTGTCGATGGGCGATGCTCGAGAGAACGGGGAGACTGACGAGGGTGCGATTGGGTTTTCGCGAACGCGCAGGCTATTTTCACCGAGGACAAGCGCGCGGGGCGGGCGGAGCAGCTCGGGATGTACGTCGCGAACGCGTCGCTGTTCGGCTCGCTCGCCGCGCGATGGGTCGAGAGTGGACACTTTCCGCTGAGTAATATGTACGAGTCGCTGTTGTTCTTGGCGTGGGGGATCACCGCGGTGCACCTGGTGGTGACGGAGCGGGACGGGTTCTCGAAGAGCGCCATTCCGGGGGCGCTCGCGGCGCCCACGGCGGCGCTCACGGTGGCGGGGGCGACTTTGGCGCTCCCAACCGAGCTTCAACGCGCCACTGCGCTCGTCCCGGCGCTCAAGAGCAACTGGTTGATGATGCACGTGAGCGTCATGATGCTGAGCTACGCGACGCTGCTCGTCGGCTCGCTCTCGTGCGTGTCCTATTTAGTCGTGGACGCATCGCAGGACTGGGCGATGGCCAAGGGTGCGCTCGAGAAACTCGACGACATGGTGAGCGACGGTGGTGAGCGAGCGAGGAACAGACCCAAGGTGAGCGTCAACGCGGACGGCGAGACGGTGGCCGTCGACGCCGCGGCGTCGACGACGAACGGCGAGATCATCGTCGACGCCTCGAGAGGCGGCGAACGTATTCTCACGGAGATGGATAACTTGGCCTACAGATGCCTCGGCGCCGGCTTCGCTCTGCTCACCGCCGGTTTAGTCTCCGGCGCCGTGTGGGCCAACGAGGCGTGGGGGTCGTACTGGTCCTGGGATCCCAAGGAGACGTGGGCGCTCATAACTTGGCTCGTGTACGCGACGTATCTCCACTCCCGCCTCGTCGCTGGATGGAGCAAGAAAGATTCCTGCGCCGTCGGTGCCGCCGGCTTCCTCGTCGTCTGGGTGTGTTACGTCGGCGTCAACCTCTGGGGCGTCGGTCTCCACTCGTACGGATGGTTCGCCAACAAGTAACTCGAGGTCGATTTTCAACGCGTCCACGCGCGGCTTCATCCGCGCCTCCGCGACGTCGCACCCACGCCGACTCGCGCACCGCTTCCGCCCGTCGTTTACGACGCACTCTTTGTTTTAATACCTCACGTCATAGTCGTCGCCGCCGCCGCGCCTCGCCCGCGCCTCGCCATCCACCGCACTGGTCACCGCGCCCGCGTCCCTCTTCGCGTTCGGCGGCGCGCGCGATCGTCGTCGTCTCGATCGTCGCCTCCACGCGCGCGCGCCCCCGTCGCGCGCGTCGCACGCGTCGACGACGGCCATCGCATCGAGCTCGAGTTCGAGCGACGCGCGAATGGTTCTCTTCGCCGTCGCCCTCACCGTGACCTCGGCGTGCGCCATCAACGTCGGGAAGGGGATGCAGAAGAAGGCGGCGAAGACGCTGCCGCGGTTCGGGTTGACCTCGGTGCGGACGTACGTGAGCGACCGCGCGTGGCGACGCGGGTTAGAATTGGATATTCTCGGCGGCGCGGGAATGTTACTGGCGCTGTCGATCGCCCCGATGAGCGTGGTGCAGCCGGCGAGCGCGAGTGGGGTGGCGATTTTGGCGGTGGTGAGTCACGTGTACCTGGGAGAGTCGTTGTCGATGCGAGAGTGGCGAGGGGTCGCGAGCTGCGCGCTGGGCATCGTCGTCTTGTCGAGATTCGCAGAGGGCGGCGGCGATACCGCACCGCTGGGTGGAGGACGGTTGTTCTTCGCGGTGATTCTTGGAATAGTTTTCTTCCTGACGCCGAGCGTGGTGCTGAGGAGATATAGCGCGGGAATCACCGCGACGGACGCGAAGCGGTACGAGTTGATAAAAGTCGGCGCGCAGTGCGGGATGAGCTTCGCGCTGAGCGCGGCGTGCGTGAAGATTGGGATGCGATATTTGCATAATTGGCTCCTGTTAAGGGCACCGGTGGCGTTCAGCGTCGGCGCGGCGCTCACGGCGCTCGGTTTATATTTCCAAACCAAAGGTTTGCGAGACGGGAGCTCCATCGTCGTCGTCTGCGTCGCCGGCAACGTCGCCCAGATGTGCGTCGCCGCCGTGTACGGACTCATGATCTTAGGTGAACCCGTGCCGCACACGGTGTTCTCACTCCTGGGATGGATCACGAGCTGGGCGTTCATCATGTACGGCGTCATCGCGCTCGGCGGGTCAGATTCGGGCGCGGCGCTCGCCGCCGCGCGCGACGTCCGCGGTCAAGCCGTGCTCCCCGTAACCGCCATCGGTCCCGGTGCGCACCCGCGCGCCAAGCTCAACGTCCACTGATTCTTCATTCCCGTGGTATCACGCTAGTCGATTGTATTACATGTTCACGCTCTAATTCGGCGTCGGAACGCCGCGCGGTCCTCACTTCGCGTCCGTCATGTCCGGACCGAAGTCATGGCTCGCCAACGCCAACCCCGCGATCACGGACATCGGTAAACGCCTCCGAGAGCGCGCCGAGGAGACGCTCACGCAGCTCGTGGACGTGAACCCGTTGGAACACGCGCGTCCCGGCGGAGCTGAGAATCACGCGCAGAGTCAGAATCAAAGCTCCAGCGCGTCTTTACCGTCGGTTCCCTCGACCTCGGGCGCTTTCACGACGCGTCACGCGCCGAGGGACCAACGTGTGATGGAACTGGAGGACCTGTGCGCGTCGATGTCCACGGAGATTGCGGCGTTGAAGGATGCGCTGCGGAGGACGTCGGAGCGAGCGAGCGGAGACGCGGAGACGGAAGCGTTACGCAAAGAGTGTCAAAAATTGCGCGATCAGAAGATTTGGGCGGAGGAAGAGTGTAAAGAGTTTGAGCGTGAGTGTGAAGAGCAGAGAAAGGGGCGGGAGCGAGCGGAGGCGGAGAAGAAGACGCTCGAACGCGAGTTGGAGGCGAAACAGCGGCTCGCGGGTTCGACGACGGAGACATCGAGCGATGCGAAAGCGGACGACTCGAAGGCTCTCGTCGATGCGGCGGAAAAAGAGCGCGATCGCGCGCTGCAACAGGTAAAGAGCATGCGCGGCGTGAACGAGACGCTGCAGGGACAGCTCAAGGAATACGCGAAACGCGTGCCGGATTTGGAGCGCGAACGCGATGACGCGCGGGCAGACAAAGCAGAAATGGCGGAGAGTCTCGCACTCGCGAGGTCAGAGACGGCAAACGCGGAGCGCGGACGAGCAGATGCCTCGGACAAGGCCGAGTCGCTGAAGAAGGAGCGGGACGCGCTCGAGGCGCAGTTGAACCTGTTGAAGAAGCGAGAAGAAAATAGTAAGCAGGTTCAGAGCGATGTGGAGGCGGCGAAGGAACGAACGAGCGATGTCGCGTTGAAACGGAGACTAGCGGAGACGGATGCGAAACTCGCGGCGGCGAATGAGCAACTAAAAACGCTGAAGGAGGGCTCGACAAAACAGGTGAGCGACATCGGCTCGCTCACCGAGGCAAAGGATACCGCTGAAGCCGAGGCGCGACGTCTTAGAGAAGAGGTGAAATTGCTCATAGGCGCGGTAGCGGAGCGTAATGCCGCGATGACCGAGCTCGCGGAACTTCGCACCGAGCTCGCGGACGCGAGGCGCTCGCTCGAGGCGAACGCGCTCGCCGGATCATCCAACGCCGATGTTGAAGCTGAGCGCAATAGGGCGGAGCAAGAGTTACTCACGATGGCGCGCCGAGTTGGATCTCTGGAACAACAACTTCGAGAGACACAGCGTGCTCAAGAGGCGGCGGCGGCGGAGATGGAGCGGGAGGTCGACAAGTCCGCGAGAGGAGACAAGGAGGAAATCGAGCGACTCAAAGCGTGTTGCGACGAGCTCGAGGCTGCGCGTGCAGAGGCCGAGCGCGGCTTGGGGAAGTTAACCGCCGACTCAAAAGAATCTAGAGAAGCTTTGGCGAAAGCGAAAGCGATAGCGGCGGAGGCGGAGGGCGCGCTCGCTGAGCTCGCCTCAAAGGCTGAGGCGGCGGAGATTCGCGTGGCGAATGCGAACTCACTCGCCGACGCATCGAAGAAAGCACTCGAGGAGTTCAAGAGCAAAGCATCGGAGATAGCTCGAACGGTGCAGGATACGCTTCGCTCGGAGCGTGATGCCGCGAAGATCGCGGCAGAATCTGCCGAGCTTGATCGCGACGCTTGGCGCGAAAAATGCAACGAGGCGCGGGAGACGCTCGAGCGCTGGCGAGAAAAGGCGCGCAAACTCATGGCGGCGAAGGACGCCGAGATCGAAGCAGTACGAGCGGGCACATCGCCCTCGCGCGGTGCGAGATCGACCCTCTTCGACGACGAAGATACCAACGCCGAGGAGGTGGCAGCCGTCGCCGAACAATCAAGTGCCGCACATCCGCCGGCGCGGAGAGGCGATATCGACGACGTCCACGCCGAGTACCTCGCCGAGGTCGTCAAGCGCTTCTTCTTGCTCCCGTTCGACGACAATGACCGCGCGGATGCGCTCGTTCCCGTCATCTGTCGCATCTTACGTCTCTCCATGGAGGACGAGTTCCGAATCAAGGCGCATCGAGCGTCGCAGCGCGCGAAATCCGCCAAATTCCTCGGCGGATACTTCGCGTGAAACTCGAAACCGTAGATTTCCAACCGAATGTATAGCGCTCAATCGCTCTCAGATCGCTCTCAGATCGTTTCAACCGCTCGCGTCGCGTCCGTCGCGCCTCGCCTTCGCGCGTCGCGCCGCGCGCTCGCGCCTCGCGCGCCCCGCCGCTCGACCGCACTCTTCGACGCCTCAACGCGCGCGCGTTCGTCACACGTTCCATGACGACCACGTCCACGTCGTTCGCGACGCGCGTGAGCCCTCGCGCGCGCGTGACGGACGCCACGCGCGCGCCGAGCGTTTTCGCTCAAAATCCGGCGGCGGCGCGAAAACGCACCGTGACGCCTCACGCGCGCGCCCGAAGCGCCGACGCCAGGCTCGACGACGCGCTGGAGTACCTCACGGACCTCTACGCCGACTCGGACGCTCGAGTCGATGGTGCGCGCGCGCGAGCTCGCGAGGACGAGGCGATGGAGCGCCTGGGGTTAGCCGAGGCGGCGCGCGAGGCGAGAAAGCGATCGTCCACGCGCGATCTCGGGGCGAAGACGTCTTACGGGGTGACGAGAGTGAACTTTGGCGCCGTGGTGGAGTGCGAGGCGAGCGCGGAGGCGGTGTACGGATGGTGGACGACGCCTGCGGCGCTGGCGGAGACGTTTCCAGAGCTGACGCGATGCGAGGCGACGCCGGACGGCCGCAGAGCGAGGTGTGAGTGGGCGTTCGCGGTCGATGACGTCCAGAAGATGCGTGGGAGAGATGGTGTGGACGCGGTTGAGAGACACCTCAGTTTGGTGCGCGTGACGGAGAACGAACCGGGATCGAGCGCGACGTACGAGGCGACGGCTGGCATGCCCGTCGGCGGCGCCGTCGTCGTCACCTCCACAGGTGCCAACTCGTGCACGCTCGACATTGACGGCTGGGTACACTTCCCCCTATCCTTGACGAGTCAAACGGGCACGATGGCGGTGGGCATGGATGCGCAGAACAAGTTTTTTAACTCCTTGACAAAGTTCAAGGAGTTGTGCGACTCTGGCGGCGTCCAGAGCGCGCTGGACGACGTCAAGGCGCGCGCCGAGGCCGCCACCGTCCCGGGCGATCGCATCACGTTCAACTTTTCGGCATAGATGACGTTCTCGAACGTTTCATCGTCGCTTTGTAGTGCTACGTTCGATCACGAACGCCTCCGCGCCGCCGCCTCGCGAGCAAACCCAAGTCACGCGCGTGACCCGCACACGCGCGCGCGCGACGTCTCGACGCGTCCACGTCCGGTCGCGTCCGAACTCGACGTCACCAAACGCGCGCGAGATGTCCCAAATCGCATCGCTCGCGGCCGGCGTCGTCGTCGACGCGCGAATGAGTTCAAAAAGCTCGCGTCTTCGCGTGTCTCTCTCGCGCTCGTCGCCGCATCGCGGTCGCCGCGCGCGCGTCGCGGTCGCGGCGACGCCGAACGACGCGCTTCGTCGCTCGCAGGCGATGGAGGCGATGGCGTCGTGCGTGACGTCGAGCGATTTGGGGGTCGGGGAGAAGTACGCGGGAAAGGTTCGGGACACGTACGTGAGCGGCGATACGATGATCGCGGTGACGACGGATCGGCAGAGCGCGTTCGATCGGCATTTGGCGTTCATCCCGTTCAAGGGTGCGGTGCTGAATCAGACGTCGCAGTGGTGGTTTCGACAGACGGCGGACATCGTGCCGAACGCGGTGCTGGCGACGCCGGATCCAAACGTGACGGTGATGCGACGGTGCGAGGTTTTCCCGATCGAGTTCGTCGTTCGCGGGTATCTCACCGGGAGCACATCCACGTCGCTGTGGACGCACTATAAGAAAGGGGGTAGAAATTACTGCGGGAACGAGCTCGCGGACGGGATGGTGAAGAACCAAAAATTGCCGATGAACATCGTGACGCCGACAACCAAAGAGAAGGAACACGACAGGCCGATTTCGTTGGAGGACATAGTGAAGGAGGGATGGATGAAACAAGAGGACCTGGACTACTGCGTTGCCAAGACGCTGGAGGTGTTTGAGTACGCGCAAGGCATCGCGGCGACTCGAGGTTTGATTTTGGTCGACACCAAGTATGAGTTCGGACGCGACTCTGACGGGACCATTCGGCTCATTGACGAGATCAACACGCCGGATAGCTCGAGGTATTGGCTCAATGACTCCTACGCCGAGCGCCACGCCGCCGGGAAGGAGCCGGACATGATCGACAAGGAGTTTCTCCGCCTGTGGTTTGCGGAGCGATGCGATCCGTACAAGGACGAAGTTCTGCCCGAGGCGCCCGCCGACCTCGTCGCCGAACTTAGCTCACGATACGTCAAACTTTACGAGATGATCACGGGGGAGACGTTTGAGGTGCCACCTACGAGCGTGGACGTAAACGAACGCATGAGAAACTCGCTCAAGGGTGTTCTCTAATGTGTCGATGGAATAATTTACACTTGTCGCCATAATCTCGACTCTACGAGCGTCGATCTCAACTCCTTCAAACCCTTGTCTATCGCGAGCGCGTCGCGTTTGAAGTGTGACGGATCCTTCATTTCGGGAGACGTCATTACCTTCATCCTTGCCAGCCAGTGATCCTCGCGTTCGTCCGCGATCCCGAGATCGATGCCCGCCTCCCTCGCCCGCGCCCACATGAGTCTGAGCCACGCGCGCCGGAAGTGGAACTCGTTCATCTCGTCGTCGCTCAGCGCGCTGGAATCGTCCGTCGAGGACGTCGTCGTAGATCGACGGAGACGCGCCAAAACGTTCGCTCTGCGCGTGTCAGCGAGCGCCACGACGACGCGTTGCTCTATTCTAGCCGCGACGAGGTGTCTCATGGCAATTTCGACGCTAACGGCGTGCCTGAAATTCGTCGGCCAAGACGGATTCAGACTCGTTGGAAGCGACGTCTTCGCCGAGTCCACGGGCTCGCTCTCAGGCGCGGGTTCACCACCATCGTCGTCGAGATCCGACGGTGAGGGTACGAGCGAAGTTTCGACTTCATACGAAGCCACCGGCCGCTTCGCCGCCTCGACGAACACCGCATCGATCCTCTTCACGATGGACTCGTGCGTCTCTCCCTCGCCGGGAGTGATACCGAACGATTCGGTCCACACGCTCGCCTCCTCTCGCACGTCTTCATCCACGGGTCCGAGTCCGAGAGCGATGAACAAGTGATAATAGCGAGCGCACCATCCCGCCTTGAGTGAAAACTCTCGCCTCTGCGCGTCGTTGAGCACGTAATCCGCCGCAGCGCGCTTCGCCGCGCGCACCTCCTTTCGCGCTTCTTGATTTCTCATCAATGCCTCGTTATCGCGCTCGTTCGCGGAGAAAATCGCCGCCTCAAGCTGCGCCGATAACAACTCTCGCCGCGACGCAAACTCCTGCTCGCGTCGCCGGAGCTGCGTCTCCATCCTCCTCAAAACCCTCGCTTCGCCCACGTTTTCCTCCCTGAGCTCGCGCACACGCTCCTCGAGCTCAACAACGGTCGCCGCCGACGCCTTGGCCCGTCGCTCCGCCTCCTCCAGCGCCTCTCGCAGGCTTCGCGTCTCCTCTCGCAGCGCGCGCTCGAGCGCCTCCACCTCCGCCGCGCGCGCCTCCCCATCCTCCCGCCCCCCAGTCTCGTCCCGCGCCTCGACATCGCGCTCACCATCATCACCATCGTCTCCACACCCCTCCGTCTGCCCCGGCGCGGTCGTGGTCTCTCCGAATCCTCGCTCGGGCGTCGTCCCCTCCCGCGCGTTCGCAAACGTCAACCGCCGCGGTTTCTGATTCTCCTTCACCCCCCCCGCGCGCTCGCGCCGTCGTCGCGGCGACGTCCCCGCCGCCTCCACCGCCGTCGTCGGCGTCGTCGTCCGTCCCGGCGCCGTCCGTTCGTCGTCCACGCGCGCGGCGAGTCTGCGACGATTCAAAAAATTGCATCCACGCGCATCTCTTCCCGTCAGTCCCTTCGCTCGCGCGTCCACGCGCGCCGCGCGCGCGCCCGCGCGTCGCTCGCGCGTCCACGCACCTCGCCGCGGCGCGTCGCGCGCGTTCGAGCATCGCGCGCGCGAGTGCGGCGGGACGATCGATCGATGCGACACACACCGACGCGAATCCAACACTCTCGACGCGTCATGGCCCTCGCGCGCGCCGCGATCGCGCTCGCGCGCGTCGATCGCGCGCGCGGGCGATCGCGCGCGCGCCGTGGGGGCGTCGCGCGCGCGCGCGGGGGCGGGGCGTCGATGATGATGGCGATGACGTCATCATCATCATCGCGTCGCACGCGTCTCGCGCGTCCGCGCCGCGCGCTTCGCGTCGAGGCGTCGCGGGAGGAGGAGCTCATGTCGAAACTCATGTCCATGATCGGCGTCGGGGGCGACGGGATCGTGTCCGCGGCGGAGGCGTTGCCGGGACGGGCGGAGGCGATGCGGACGCCGGAGGCGCACTACGTCTTGCGACCGAATCGAATGACGGCGCCGTGGCCGGAGGGACACGAAGTGGCGGTGATCGCGAGTGGATGCTTCTGGGGGAGCGAAAAGGGGGCGTGGCGCATCCCAGGGGTGTACTCCACGGCGGTGGGGTACGTGGGCGGACACACGAAGAATCCGACGTACGAAGAGGCGTGCAGCGGACGAACGGGACACACGGAGGGGGTGCAGATCGTGTTCGATCCGAACGTGGTGTCGTACGCGGATATTCTGGCGTTATTTTGGACGTCGCACGATCCGACGCAGGGAATGCGACAAGGGAACGATCGCGGGACGCAGTACAGGAGCGGTATTTACTGCACGACGGATGCGCAGTTGAAGATGGCGCTCGACTCCAAGGAGGCGTACGAACGCGCTCTGAAGGCTTCGGGACGCGGCTCGATCACGACTGAGATCAAGGGCCCGGGTGACGTGTTTTACTACGCCGAAGCGTACCACCAGCAATACTTGGCGAAACCCAACGCTCGACCGGTGCGCATCGACGGAATCGACGCGACGACGCGAGGACGAGTCTCGATCGAAAACCTCGTTTCGCGAACACACGACTGACCGCGGCGCGTGTTCTCCACGCAGTATTGCTCCGCGCAACCGACGGGCGTCCAGATGCCCGAGGACTGGTTGACGGCGAACGGCGCCAAGTTCGGCCCGGGCTTCCGCGCCGAGTACGGTCCGCGTCCGGGATGCACCATCGGCTTCCCCAACGCCCCCGTCTCCCTCGAGGAAGCGCTCGCCGCGAACTAATCCGATGTATTCGTCTCTTTTTCATTTTAACGAACACCGCGTGCGCACATTTCAACGAGTGTCTCATCCAGCGCGGATGTCTCTTCGTCGTTCGTCGCGCCCGCGGCGCTCGCTCCGACAATCACCGCACTCATCCACGCCCGCGCGCGCGACGCACGCGCGCGACGCACGCGCGCATCGCTCCCGATGCAAGCTATTCGGAACATGTTCGGCGGCGCCGGCGGCGAACGCGTACCGATGAAGATCAATCCAAAACATTTCATTCTGAAAACTGACGTCACGACCGTCCCTTCCGGTCACGCGAGCTTCGTCGCCGCCACCGGGTGCTTCTGGGGCAGCGAGAAGATGTTCTGGCGCGTCCCAGGGGTTCGGGCGACGTCGGTGGGGTACATTGCGGGTAAGATTGAGCACCCGACGTACGAGGAGATTTGCGGCGGACGCACGGGACACGCCGAGTGCGTTCGGGTGATCTACGACCCGAAGATCGTGTCGTTCGCGGATCTGTTGGCGATGCACTGGACATCGCATGACCCGACGCAGGGTGATGGGCAAGGGAACGATCGCGGGACGCAGTACAGGAGCGGATTGTATTGCTCGACGGATGAGCAGTTGAAGATGGCGAGAGACTCGAGAGAGGCGTATCAGGGCGCGCTGCGAGCGGCGGGGAAGAACAGAGAGATCACGACCGAGATCAAGGGGCCCGGGGATACTTTTTACTTCGCCGAGGATTACCATCAGCAGTACTTGGGTGCGTTTGTCTTTCAAATCTCTTTCGCGACGTTCTCACGACTCCTCTCTTTTCACGCGCAGCGAAACCGGGATCTAGAAAGTACTGCAGCGCCGAGCCCACGGGCGTGCCCATGCCCACTGCGTGGCTCAAGGCGAACGGGGGGAAATTTGGACCGGGTTTTTGGGCCAAGTACGGTCCTAAACCGGGGTGCACGATCGGCGTCCCGGACGCGCAAGTCTCGCTCGACGCCGCGCTCGAAGCAAAGTGAACGCCTCCATGGCCGACCTCGACGCTTTACACGTCGCCCGACCGTGTACAATCAGCACAATGAACCAATGCGAACGTTTACCGCGCGCGCGCCGCGTCGCGCGATCGATCGTCGTCCTCTCGACGTCTCCGCGCGTCTCGTCTTCCCGAACGGTTTCATTCACCCGAACACCACCTTGACGAAGATCACGATCGCGTTCAGCGCGATCAGGGGCACTCTGAGGTAGGACGCGGCGTTGATCACGCCGATGATCTGCCCTCGCGCGCTCGTCGCGCTCGTGGACCCGTCTCGGATGGATTCCATCGTCAATCCTCGCTTCGCCAAGAATCGTCGTTCATTGAGCACGGCGACCGCGTTCACGCTCAGGAGCGCGCTCTGGGTGAGCGTCCAGAGCGTCATGGACGCGCGCGCGGGACGCCGACGACGTCGCGATCGCGTCTGCGGCGTCCGCGGCGGCGTGCCGTCCTGTTCGTTGATGTACTAGGGTTTAGACAGCACGCGGAGACCCTCGCAACACCTTACTCGGACGATCGCGCGTCCGTCACACGTCCACGCGCGCTCGAGCGACCGCACCGCGCGCGTCTCTCGACCGCACCGCAACACACGTCATGTCCGTCCCGGTGCCCACCGGATGCGAGCTCACGGGAGCGCCCGCGGAGTATAAATCTGGCGCCATGGCGGAGACGCTCAGCGACGGCGATCGCGAGCGAAAAGTCGCCTTCATCACCGGTGTGACGGGGCAAGACGGGAGTTATCTCGTCGAATTGCTCTTGCAAAAAGGTGCGCGCGCGTGGACGCGGGAGATGGAGCGGAGACGGCGGGTGAACGACGACGGGGGTGGGACGACGGACGACGCGGTTGCGGCGGGCGGCGACGGAGATCTACGGCGACGGAGCGACGCGTACGGTCGGTCGAGGGCGCGCGCGCGCGTCACGCGCGTGGAGGAATGTGATACGGATCGATGCGTGCGATGGAGCGCGTCGATGGGGGGGGTGGACGCGTTCGAGGTGGACGCGAAGGAGATCGCGATCCGGCGGCTGCGCGGATAGACTTTGATCGACGACTGAGACGCGAGAGACTGACGAATGCCGTCGCGTGCGATTCGCAGGGTACATGGTGCACGGGATCAAACGACGATCGTCTTCGTACAATCACCCGCGATTAGAGCACATCATGGAACCGGGGTACCCGAACGGGCAAAATTTCTTCTTGCACTACGGCGACCTCACGGATCTCCACGCGCTCGTCGCGATTTGCCGGGACGTGCGACCGACCGAAGTGTACAACCTCGCGGCGCAGTCTCACGTGCAGGTGTCTTTTCAAATGCCGATGTACACCGCCGAGGTCGACGGCGTCGGTACCCTTAACCTGCTCGAGGCGATTCGCTTGTCCGGACAGACGAAGACGGCGCGATTTTATCAGGCGTCCACGTCCGAGCTCTACGGCAAGGTGCAGGAGATTCCGCAATCTGAGAAGACGCCCTTCTACCCGCGCTCGCCGTACGCCGTCGCGAAAATGATGGCTTTCTGGGCCGTGGTTAACTACCGCGAGTCGTACGATATGTACGCGTGCAACGGCATTTTGTTCAACCACGAGTCGCCGCGACGAGGGGAAACCTTTGTGACGCGTAAGATCACCCTTGCCGTCGCGAACATCAAGGCGGGCAAGCAAGAGTGCTTGTACCTCGGTAACTTGGATGCCAAGCGCGATTGGGGGCACGCTCGCGACTACGTGGAGTGCATGTGGAAGATGCTTCAACAAGAGAAGGCGGAAGACTACGTCGTCGCCACCGGTGAAACCAACACCGTGCGACACTTCGTGGACCGCGCGTTCGACATCGCCGGCATGAAGCTCAAGTTCGAAGGTGAAGGTGTTGACGAGGTCGGCATCGAAGTCGCCACCGGACGCACGCTCGTTCGCGTGCACGAGCGATACTTCCGTCCGGCGGAGGTTGACCTCCTCATCGGCGACCCGAACAAGGCGCTGACGCAACTCGGATGGAACCCGCGCACGACGTCGCTCGAAGAGCTCATCAAGGAGATGGTTGAAGCGGACATCGCTCGCGTCGAGAATCCGACGTTGCGATTCTGAGGGGAATATATGAATAGGACGATGCATACGGGATAATTGAAACACGAATGGGTATTAAAACACTTGCTCAACCGAATCGCCTCCCCCTCACGCTACCGCGCTCGTGAACGCCGTGAGCCAGAATGTGACGGGAACTATCGCGATAACGTATTGACGCAGCATGAGCGCGGCCAAGCGTGGCGCCATCGGTCGCGTCGCCTCTCGAAGCTGCGTGAGAAGGACGAGGTTTTGCGCCGCGGGCATACAGGACATTGTGAGGAGCACGAGCGCCGCCATGCTATCGGTGGGGAACCAAGGAGAATTGAGCGCTCGAAGGAAGAGGAGTCCAAATAAGCACGCCGCGGGCAGAGCAACGAAGCGCACTAAGCACGCCGAAGCGAGCGCTTGCACGTCGGCCAACTCGAGGCGGCACAAATAATCCCATCCCGCGCCCATCTTGTTGAACACGGCTCCGAAGATGCCGAAGGCGCTTCGCAAAGCCCCAACGAGCGTCTCGAATACGAGAATGATCGAGTTCTTTCTCTGCGTCGTCTCGCACTCTTCGGAATCATCTTCTTCTTCGCACTCCGCGGGCGCGGTCGACACTTTTTCTTTCGCCTTTGCGGCCTTTGCCAGTCTCCGCTCCACGTCCTCGGGCGTAATCTTCACGAGACTCGACGCCAAGACGAGCATCTGACCGGGAAGCGCGGCGGCACCGATGCTCGCCGCGAGTTCGAAGAGCGCGCGAAGAACGACAGAGACTGCGGTCAACGCGGCCGGGAAATCAGTCGTCGCATCGCTAAAGTTGCCGACGAAGACTTCCTTCAAAGGCGTCGCGCCGATGAGCACCCCGGCGATGATTCCGAGAAGCGGCGGATTCAGGAGCTCCTTGCTGATTCTTTGCAGAGTCGCTCGCGTGGTCAGGTACGCGTCCCTCAGCGCGCTCGTCTTACTCCCGTCCTTGCTGAGCCCGGCCACGGCGACGGGGCCGGCGATCAATAAAAAGCCGACAGTCCACAAAACGGGCGTCCATCCGATGAGGTACAGAGCGATGTAACCCGCCGTCTCGTCCGCGCGCGCGCGACCGAGCACCTCGGTCAAAAACACCAACGGAAGGGTGAATGTGTTCCCGAAGGCGCACGCGGCGATGCCCAGACGAGACATATCCATATTTTCCTTCTTCAACTGCACGAGCTCTTCCTCCGCCGCGTCGTCCTTGGGCTCGACGCTATACCACTTTGTGTACGCGTAAAACTTGTTCACGACCGAGGTGACGATGACGCCGATGAAAGAACCGAAGATGACCTGTGCCACGGCACTCATGGGCAACACCGCCAGGGCCTTGGTGAGAGGCGACATGTAGAGCGTCGCCGCGACGCGCGTGCACAGGTACGCCGGAAGCATGACGTTGAAAGCCAGTTTGGATACCACCACGGGCGTTTCCAGCGGAAGCTTCCCATCTCGCATCAATCCCGTGATGACGGCACACAACGCAACCATCTTGAACGTCGCCGTCGCCGTCGCGCGCATGATGCGCAGATCGAACCCCACGTTTGACGTCAGCGACTCGAACGCCGCCACCGCGGTGTCGAGCGGCTCGAAATACGAACACAACCAACTGATCGCCCTCGGCCACGCCGCGAGCGCGACCAAAAACGCACCCGCCAAGAAAATACTCCTCGTCCACTTCAGCGCGCGATCGTCGACCTCGGCGCCGAACACGCGTCTCGACACTTGATCCGCCTCGCGTTCCTCGCCCCGCGCCCGCCGTTCCAGCTCCTCCTCATCCACCGAATCCTCGCTCGATCCCTCCACCGAGCGCTCGATCGCGTCTCCATCGCCCCCCCGCCCCTCTCCGCGGTCGTTCGCGTCCGCATCCGACGGGATCGCCGCCCGTTCCGCCGCGTCCCGATCGTCGTCCGCCGCCCGCGCCCGCGCCGCGC